TTCAAAAAGTTGTACAACTGTCACCACAGTCTAGTCCCAGACATTTTTATCACCTCAGAAAGAAACCCTGTACCCATTAGCAGTTGCTCCTTAATTCTTTCCTCCCCCTAACCCCTGGCAACCATACATCTGCTTGCTGTCTCTGGATTTGTCTGTTCTGGACATTTCACAGAAATGGAATCATAAAGTGTGTGGTCTTTTGTGTCTGGCTTCTTTCACTTGGCATAATGTTTCTGAGGTGCGTCTGTCTGTCCGTGTTGCAGCATGTGTCAGTACTTTGTTGCTTTTTGTGGCTGAATAATACTCCATTGTATGAAGAATCACATTTCGTTTATCCATTCATTGGTTGACGGACACCTGGGTTGTTTCTAACTTTTGGTTATTGAGATTCGTATTTCTTGTTCCTTTTGGTTTGGTTTTCCTGAGAAGCTCTTTGCAGCATCTGGCTGTCTGTGTTCCCCTAGCTTGGCTATGTGGAAAGCAAGACAAAGCGTAGCTGATTGTGGTGGGGGGCTGCAGAGCTGGTGTGGGAGATGCAGAAAAGTGCAGTTTGAAGGTCTGGGAGAACTTTCTGCCAGAGGGAGGCCTTACATCTGGTCCCAGAGCCGTCGGCTGCTAGGTGAGTGCTTTTCCTATTGTTAATTATTAGCCAATAGTTGTGATCTTGAGAGCAGATCCCCAGGGCTAGAACTGGTGCTTATTTGAGATGCCAGAAGTGTTGACCAAGACATTTAAACAGCCCTGGACCCTTGCTTCTCAGTCTCCATTTGGGCACCAGATCACCGTTTTATGAAGTATCATTATTGTCCTCATCATCACAATGGTTTACATTTGTATAGGACTTTCTGCTTTATTTTTACAGCCATTACTTATAATTCCTCAGAACATTATTATCTTTGCAAGTGAAGGACTTAACCAAGGTGACACAGCAAGGTAGCAGGTGGAGCCAAACCTGAACCCAGGAATCTCTTGATTCCTAGCGTAGGGCTCTCTCTAGAGCAAAGTGCGAGGGCTGGCTGTTGCAGTGACCTCGGATGGTCCTGGGTGGAGCCATCTGAGGGTGGAGACAGTGGCCCTGCAGGCCTGGGTGCTGTGATGGGGCCCTCACCCAGGGGTTTGTCCAGCCCTCTATTTTCCGTCTGTTTTCTCAGCTTCCACTCCAGATTCCTTTGATTATTACCTCCTGAGATTTGCATTCGGCTAAAGCCAACTAGGACTGCTCCTGGTCTCCCTGAGCCCTCCCATCTGCCCCAGGATCTCTCATGCTTGTAGGGAAAGAGTACCAGAGGGGGGAACCTGAGAACCACGTGGCCCTGGGTAGTGCAGCACCTCCAGGACTCCCCAGGTAGACGAGGTGCTCCTGACCTGTCCATTCAGCCCACTGTCACCACCCTTCTCTTTCAGCCGAGTGTGTAATCTTTCCTCCTCCCCTCCTCTGCCTTCTTTCCATCCTCCTTTTTTTATTTTCTCCTTTCCAAGCTGTCCCCAGTGCCAACCCCTCGTCTGTGGGTCCCTGTGTGGGTCTGGGCCCCTGTATCATTACAGCCCCATGTATTTGGCTGGGTTGGTTGGTAAACACTTTTCTATCTCAGGGCCATGACATATGGCAGGATCACTGTGGGTCACAAGAAAGCATTCACCTCTGCTACTGATTTACCTTTTGCTTATAATAAATTAGAGCAGATTCAAGGTTATCCCTTGATATAATCACTTCGCTTTCACCTACTCATGTGTGATACATTTGCCCGAGTGGGAGAGAGAGGGCTGGGATTGTGCTGAGTGCCACGGCTCTTTCTCTATCTTACCTCTGCACCAGCTGGTGGCAGGGCCAGGCCTGGCTGTCCTTGGGAGGTGGCTCACATGTAAATGTCATTGGTTGTGAGGGCTGGGGCAGGATGAGGTCAAGCACCGCTGATCAGAGCAGGGGTGATGGGATGGCAGCAGGGATTCATGCTCACAAGGCCAAGGCTAGGACCTGGGACTTGGTGGTGCGTTTGTTTCCTAGGGCTGCCATTGCCAAGTACACAAACGGTGTGGCATAAATCAACAGACATTTATTGTCTCAGTTCTGGAGGCTAGAAGTCCAAAATCAAGGTGTCAGTAGGACCATGATCCCTCTGAAGGCTCTGGGAAGAATTCTTCCTGCCTCTTGTAGCTTCTGGTGGTGGCCGCCGATCCTCGGCTTGCAGCGGCATCACTCTCGTCTCTGCCTCTGCTGTCACATGGCCTTCTCCCTACGTGTCTGTGTCTTCACATGGTCTCCTTCACTTCTCATAATGACACTGGTCATATTGAATTAAGAGCCTACCCAATGACCTCATCTTAACTTGATATCTGCAAAGACTATTTCCAAATAAGGTCATATTCACAGGTACTGGGGGTTAGGACTTCAACATATCTTTTTTGGGGACACAATTCAACCCGTAGCAGGCAGTTAGGTCTTAAATGGGAGTGAGGGCTGGACTCACAAGTGGGGATGGTGCAGTGTGGCTCATGCCCCCCATAGGTGCCACTTGAAGCCATCTGTACACCAAGGCAGGGTGGATTCTAATTTGTGAGCAAGGACCTGTGTTTACTCTGAGTCCCCTCTTTCTGAGGGCAGCAGTCATACCTTCTGCTCACCCTGGAGTCTTGGACACTGCCTTGGAGTTAGCATGAGGCTGGTAGCCCCTGGTGCTCATTCCTGCTCCAGCACCTTTCAAACTCCCGGGCGGCCCTTGGGAAACCCTTCTGGCCAGAAGCTGCCCTGTGCTTCCACTGTGCCTCATCACTCCCCAGGAGACTGGTTCCAGGAGCTTATCTAGCATCCAGGGGAAACAGGCTGGTGCAGGGGAGAGGGGCTCAGCCTGGGGAGGGTTGGGTTCAGGGCCCTTTTCCGGGGACTCAGGACCGGGGATGATAATTTCATCTGCTCTGGTCCCATGGGCGTGGACATCTTATGGAGAGAACCAGACAGCATGGCTGTGTATGAGTGTCCTTTGATCAGTGATGCTAAAAACCTGCCTGCAATGCCCTCCTCTATGGCTCGTGTTCCTGGAGAGCCAGGGCTGCTGTTGGTCAAGGTGCCTACAAGCCATCTCCAGGGGAGCAAGCCAGAGGTCCTCAGCTCAGCCCAGAGCAGCCCTATGGATGACGGGTGGGGGGCTTGCCTTCCCTCCTCTCCCTGCACGCTTTTCCCCACAGGCTCCACGGGGAAGCTGCCTTCGTCCTCACCTTAGGGGACCTGAGGGTGGTGCTTCCTATCCTTGATCATCCTTCCTCTCTTCCTTTTCCTCATATCATGGCTCTTGGGGCCAGACCCATGGAGAAGGAGCAGTGGCTGCTTGGGAGTGGGCTGAAGGACAGGAGGGTGAGCCTGTGCTGGACCCAGTTCTGTTGGATCCACAGGCAGGTGAGGGGCAGAGCAGCCAGACTGGACTCCACAGTGGTAACGTGTGAGGCTGTAAATGGAAGGGAGAGGCTGGGGGCTGTAGCTGGGAGGTAGCAGGAGCTGGTGCATTCCTTTGTGTGCACGTGCGCACATGCTGAGTCTTGGCCCCACTGGCTCTTGTGCCAATTTCAGTCTGGATCAGGAGGGAGGGGACCCCCTCTCCAGCCATCATAGGTCACATCACAAAGGCCCAGGAAGAAAGAAGGAGGAAAGCAGATGGAGGAGTGGAAAGGCAGGATTGCCAGGTTGAGGTTAATGGGGTCATATGGATCCTTTGCCAAGCCAGATGTGCTCCAGCCTTCTTATCTGACTGCTTAGAGGACAGTAAGGGGTGGCCAGCTGCAGGGGCAGGCAAGGGTTGTTGTGTAGGGGGTCCACAGCCCTGAAGGCCCAGCCTGGTTTCCCAGGAGGCGTTCTTACAGTGGGCTTGCCCTGTGGTCTGAGGGGAGCCAGGAAGGGGTGGTGTCTGGGCCCCAGGGCCAGGGTTTTCCTCTAGAAAGCTGGAGGGCTGGGCTCTGTAGGGAGGGAGGGCTTCTCTCATGAAGAAGGCTTGGGGTTGGAGCTGTCACTCCCGCTGACAGGACCTGGGCCGGAAAGAGGGACAGAAGCATTCTCTTACAGTGGCAGTGGGGGTCCTTTGGTCACTTAAGTGGGACACTGGTGTTGTGCTTATTCTCTTGGCTGCTTCAGGTAGGGCCTCTGGAGAAGGAAACACTTATAAAGTTGGGGGCTCTGAAGTCTCAGCCTGGTATTCTTATACACTTAATACTGTTATCCTTGACCCTCCTGCCCCCGCAGGGTACAGCCAGGACACCGGAGTCCCTTGTCTGGGGATTCCTCAGGTTCGGCCCAGCTGGTCTTGTGTAACCGTTGCTCTGAAGGCTTATCCCCCACCCCACAGTCTGCCTGGTGATGGGATTGCAAACAAGCACTCCCTGGTCACCAGCAACGGCCAGATGGAAAGTGGGGAGTGTGTGAGAGCGAACTTGTCGCAGTCACGTTGCCATGGTGACGTGACTCTGTTTAGCTGCCTCTCCACGGTCCTAGCCCACATGGACTAAAATAAGTTTTACCTGCAGCTTACACAGCAGGCAGCCCCATACTCCCAAGGTCAGCTCTCTGGCTAGGGCCTGTGTGTGTGTGTGTGTGTGTGTGTGTGTGTGTGTGTGTGTGTATACAGAAGGGCCCGAGGGAGACTGAATTCCAAATGTTTACCCCTCTCCCCTCCTCCTCTGTGAGTCCTGTATCTCTTTAGGCTGGCGTTTCTCAGACTTTAGCGTGCACCAGAATCACCTGGAGAGCTTGTTTAAACATAGATTCTTGGGCTCCAACACTGGAGCTTCTGGTATGCACCTGGGAATTTGCATTTCTAACAAGTTCCTAGCTCATGCTGGTGATCCAAGGATCACACTGGAGTAATGCTGCTTTAGATGTTAGTACAACCCTAGTTGTCTGCATTGTGTGTTAAACTGAGTCCTCAAGTCTAGCCACTCTTAGAGGAGAGAGGGGAGGGTGCAGGTGCTGCCTAGGCCCACACTCACCTTTTCTATGTCCTTTGGCCTCTTTGCAGGAAGCAGGAGCTGGCCAACAGCTCGGATGTGACCCTCCCAGACCGGCCGCTGTCCCCTCCTCTCACTGCACCTCCCACCATGAAGGTAAGAGACTCCGAGTCAGTAAGCAGGGAGGGGACGCATGTGGGGGACAGTCTGGAGGTCTTGCTCCAGCTCGAAGCCCAGCTGCTCCTGTCCTGTTGGGGCCGTGGAGGGCCTGACACCTCTGGAGGCAGCATCCAATTAGGCTCATAGTGCAGTAGAAGCATGACTGGGACTCAGGGGTGTGTGTGTCGAGGGGCTGAAGTGGGGTTGCAGGATGCTTGGTAATTAGCAAGAGGCCTCGTGGAGTGATGGGGTTTGGGAACAAGGGCCCAGACAGGAGCAAGTGAGGGAGACAGAGTGTAGCTGGTGCCTTAAGGGGCTGCTGCCCGGGAGGACTCTCTGTGGCTGGGCGTGGAGCCTTTTTGGGACTTGACTGGCGCTTCCGTGTTGGTCTTCCCACCTATGACTGGCCCTGTTGCCCCAATCTCTGTGGGAGAGCTGTCCTGGAGGTTCTGGGGGGGACAGTAGTTCTTTTCCTATCAGTGCTTCATTCATAAGCCTCTTTCCTGGGGAGACCACATCCCAGGACCCCCGGCCCACGATCCTCCTATTCCTGGAAAGGAGCCGAGGTGGCAGTACCTTCCCCCCCATGCCCTTTCCCCTTCACCTTTTAGTCCCCCCTGGCAGGATGGCCACCCAGGTCTGAGCTGGCCCTCAGGGAGGACTTTTGGCTCAGCCAGGGTTCCTGCCTAGGCTGCCGTGAACCTGCCTCTCTCCCTGCCTCTTTCCCCCTCTTCCTCCTTCACACTTTGTAAAGCGAGAGCTAGCTCTGAAGAAGTCATCTGCCTCCTGAGTCATCTGAGGGGACCTCTAGGCCAGCCCTTCTCTCTGTCCTCGGGCTCTGATCTGAGGTGTCTCATAGGGTAATGATTAGGCATCTCTTTCTTGCTGCCCCTTATTGTACCCCTCTTCCCTGACCTAATCTGTTGCAAGGTGACACCCCTAAAGGAAGCAGATAAAAACCATCCATCTTCCTGTTATCATCCCATATTGGATGCCTACCATGCTGAGCCGCATGTACACCAAAGGGGAACATGTAGAATGGTAGCCAGAGCATGCCCTGTTTGGGTTAGGAGTTTAGCAGTGGGCAGGGGGCAGGGCAGGGGGCAGGACAGGGTGCAGGACAGGGTGCAGGGCTGACTAAGGACTCCTCCTGGTGTGGTACCCAGGGGGCATTGAAAAGCAGACCACTTTCACCAGCCTAGTTCCAGTGCTGGTGTCTAAGCCAAGTGCCGGAGTGGCTTGTTTGCACAGAGTAATGCTGAGGAGCATGTTGTCATTCTGAGTTTCAGCCCCTTGGTCTGCACAGTTGGGGGTGGGATGCTTGTCTCTGTGCTCGTGGATGGTGGGAGTGTGGAGGGAGAACTCTGAAATTCTAGGAGGAGTCACTGAGTTCTCTTGGCAGACTTTACGTACTCACAAGCTCATTTAATTCATTCAACACCCCACATTTATTTGAATGTGTACTAGTCAGGACTCAGTTGCAAGTAACAGAAACATAACTCACTTTGGCTTAGGCATAAAAGGGAATTTTTTGCCCTTGTAATGGCAAATATAGATGCCAGGCATGCATGGCTGCACCCGTGATATCTGCCTGTTTCTCTCTCTCTTCTGTGTTTGTTTCATTCTTTGCCGAGCTCTGTCTCTGTGGTGGCAAGATGGTGACAGCGGCTTTTACCTGCTAAATAACCCCAGTGGAAAGACGAGTATCTTTTTCCCAGTAGTTCTGATGAAAGTCCCCAGGAGGAAGCTCATCGGCCTGGCTCAGGTCACATGTCTCTATCTTGGAGCCAATCATTATGACTGGAGAGATGGAAGGCTCTGATTGGTCAGACCTGGGTCTCCTGACCATCTACCTAAATCAAAAGAACTGAGAGTGGGGGAGGGGTGGCTCTTCAAAGGAAAGTTGGGATGCTACTACGAGAATAAGTGGAAATGGAGGCAGGGCAGGCAAAACTTTTGACTGTAAGTGCTGATAATGTGCCAGGTCCAGTGCTGGTTGCTGGGGGACCTAGTAGTGAACAAGATGTGACGGTCCCTGCTCTCTTGGAGCTTGTAGTCTAGCTAGGGAGCCAAAAGTTGAAAAACCAATGTCAAGAAGGAGGGATGGACAGTTAGATGTTGTGAATGTTCCAAAGGAGAAGCACATGTAGCTCAGGGAGAATATAAGGTTGGACGGTGGGTGGGGGGTGCTAACTTACTGTTGAAGAGGGTCAGGTAGGGTTTCTTTGAGGAAATGTTATTGAAGCTGAGCCCTGAGAGTCAAGTAGGACTTAGGCAAAGTTGGAGTCAGAGTGGAAGAGAATGTGCTAGATGCACAACACCTGCATCATTTGGGAGCTCCTGAGAAATGCAGAATCTAAGGTCCCTCCCTAGACCACTGATTCAGAATCTTCATTTTACCAACATTTCCAAGTGATCTGGATGCACATGACAGCTTGAGCAGCACTGCTGTAGGCTGGTGTAAATGCCCTGAGGCAGCCAAGGAAGAGATGTTTGTGCCAGAGGAACTGGAAGAAGACCAGAATGACTGGAGTACCCTGAGTTAGGGTGGAAGAGGCTGGGTACACAGGCAGGGACCAGATCAAGCAGACACTTGCTGAAGAGTTTGGAGTTTATCCTAACTAAGGGCATTCAAGTCCTTGAAGATTGTAGCCAGAAGGTTAAGATGATGGGACTTTTGGAAATTCACCCTGCCCATTGTGTGGGAAGCAGGAGCTGAGTTGGAGGCGGCTGCAGGAGTCCAGCGGGAGAGGATGGAGGCCTGCCTTCTAGGGGCCAGTGGTTATTTGGAAGTGGTCGGATCTCAGATTTCCCAGGCAGTAGATTGATGAGCTATGAGATTTGGGGAGAGAGAGGAGGCAAGAATGGCCCCCAGATCTGGAGCAACTGGATGCATGGTGCAGCTATTGTCTGAGATAGGGGTGGCCCAGGAGGGAGGATGAGGGTTACGTGGAGTGCTGAGTTGGACCTGCCAGAGACATGAATGGGGATGCTAGTGAGCAGCAGAGTATTTGGGGCCAGGCTCAGAAGAAGGGTCTGGGCTGGAGGTAAACATCTAGGGGGTCATTCCCATAGAGAAGGGAGTTGAAGCTCTGGGATGGATGTGATCCTCAGGGAAAGGGTGGAGTGAGACGAGTGGTTCCTGGGCTGGCACCTCGAGGTTCCCCCCCAGCTAAAGGCTGGTGCTGGGGTCTCTGTGGAGGGGGCTGGACCTAGTCATGGAGGGAGGGGCAGCCGCATCCACTGCTGGGGGACCAAGTACTCTGTGGAGTGCACAGTGGCCACTGGGCTTAGTGGCCTGGTGGATGCTGGGGATGTAACTGAGAGTAGTTCCGGTGAGGAGCGGGGATGGACGGCACATGGCAGTGTGTGGAGGAGTGAGAGGAGCTGGCGAAAGAGTCAGGGGGGTAGACAGTCCCTGTGAGATGGGGAGACCTGAGTGTGGACAAGTTGAAAGGAGGGAGACAGGAGGATACAAGGAGATGCAGGAGAGAAAGGAGTGATCAGGAATCTGGATCACAAGCAAGGCATTATTCATTAACATATTCATTCAAACAATGACTTATGAACATCCACCGAGTGCCTGCCCCTGCTCTGCTGTGGCCCTTGCAGGGCCAGGGGGCTGTCAGGGAGGGGGCCTCAGGCAGGCCCAGAGCAGAGTGACAACCTGCAGGGAAACCTCAATGACCCACAGTCAGAAGACATCCCCCCCCCAGGCTCTGTCCTTCTCTTTGAACTCAGCTCAGGAATTTCCCACCCAGCCTGTGACTCTATTGTCTAGACCCCAAGGGGAGTCAGAGCTGGGAACTCAGGCTGGGTTGGAACCCTTCTGTGGCTGGTGTTAGGGCCAGTGTGTGTGATGTATCTTGACTGAGGGGTCTCTTTCTGACTGTCATTTGGGTTTATACTGCAGCTCAGACAGTCTATGGCTGTGGTGAGGAGTCTGTGGCTAGGACATTTTTTTTCCTGTGTACAGAGCTGCCCATAAGGGATTTAAAGCCACAATCCTCACCTTACACTAACCTGCTCACTACAGAGGGAGTGTCCCTTTTGTGACTGTGATCATATAATATTGCAGTTTCTTGTTGCTGGTGTTTTTATTTTCCCTCCATTGAACTCCTTGAGTGCAGACTTTGTCCTGTTTTTTGGGTCCTCAGACCCTGGCTTGGGATAGATGTCTGGGAGATGTTTATAGTCACCGACTCTATGGGACAGCCAGGTCAGAGGATTTGCTCTGGTCCTGATCCTCCACTCCTCTGGTTTTGCTTGAATCTTATATCCCAGCAGACCCTTTATCTCCAGGTAATACTTTTCTAAACGAAGCCTCTAGACATGTGCTCTTCAACATGTGGACTGAAGACCCTCTTCTTCCCCATCAGTTTCACATGGTGTTAGCTCTGCATACCCAGGCTCCCACCTGCAATGTCCATCTCCAAAGGTGGGACCAAGCCCCTGCTTTGTTGACACCTCCCAACCTCCCCAGGTTATTGCTGCACACGGGAGGCCTGAGACACCTTGGGGTGGAGGCTGGACTCTCTTTGGAGGTCTCTGGCCTTGGGGGTTCATGAATTGGTTCTCTACCCTCTGAGCATCTGGGCAGTGGGGGAAGGCTTCACCTGGTTCCCTTGGCATTACAGGCTTGGGGTGGGGGGTAGTGGCAGGGGTGCCCTTTTGGTTGATTAGCTTGGGCATCATACAATGTCAGGGAGGGACAGTCAATTTCCTTTATAGATGAACCAGAGGCAGGGAGGTGGGAAATGACTTGCTCAGGGTTCCATCGTGTTCCTCTTGTAGTCAACAGAGTAAGTTAAATTCTAAGACTCAAACCATTTTTGGCCAAGTCCTTTTCTCTCCCACCCCCACACACTCAGGGACAGCCCTCCTGTAGTTGCTTCTCCCACCTGAGCAGTAGCTGGCCTCCAGCCCGAATCTACCCCTGTCCTCCCGGCAGGCCTGCAGCAACCGGCCCTTTATGTACCTCCCTCATTCACCTCTTT